TCAAAAACCTGTCACATGTTAGATACCAATATATTTAAACCTACCAAGATACTGCATGAGTACTTAAAGTTTGTGTAAAGGCCCCATAAAATGCACCAAACAACTGAAGAATGGCAGCTTGAGAACTCAATTGCTACTGTGATATTTTTTCCAAATTTTTAATCTATTTTCATTTAAAAAGAAATAAAGGTGATAATACGCTTTTGCATAATGTATTGCTGAAGAACCGGGTTCTTAGCTGGTGTAAATCAATATGGCTCCTTTGCAGTCAGCATACATCACATGAAGGACCAGTTCAATTACTTTACCTGTAATTTCTTATATCAGCATCAGATGCTGAGTACAGTTTGATGTTATGCTTAAAGAAAGTCACCAGCCTTTTTAACTAGGAAGGAAAAGAATCAATACAATGGATTAATTTTAATCCTGAAGAAGAGACAAAAACATAAATGAAGGGCAGCCAACACAAAACTGGAAAGAGACAGCTGTTTAATACTTATAATTCATTATAACCTCACAAAACAAGTGAAGCCCTTTTCTTAAGTGTTCCAGTTGAGATATGTGGCTGTAATATATGTGCAGCAAAATAATGAGACAGTAATAAGGCAATAATTGTTCAAAACATTCTAAGTATGCAAAAATCAGAAGTTATTCATCAACCCTGAGTTTCTTCTCAGTCAAAGACAGAGAGCCACAGGTATCTATATCATAGCTTGTAGCACATGCAGATTGTGGCTTCTCATTCCTTGAGCATAGCACTACAAGGTAACCCAAGTTACCTTATAGATCTCTTCTAGGAAGACATCTATAAACTGCTTTCTACTTACAAGTAGCAGAGAAAGGAAATTGAGTATGGAAAGGCAAGAAGCCAGAAACAGGGGATTGTGGGATTGGTGCTGGGAGACTTCTACTTCAGGACAGAGGCAAGTAGATGAGTTCTAAACGCACTGGGATGGGTTTGGCTTAAATGAATTTGGTAGAGAAACTACTAGGGTTGGGATTTAACATATGGGTTTACAGTGGAATGATAACAAAATTAAAATTGAACCTACTGGTATAGACATAGCCTAAAGGGAAAAAACCATCAATTTATTGACTTAAAAATCCAGAACTAGATATAGAATATGGTAAATACTGCAAACTATTATTTTCTAAATATTTCTGTTTCATTCATTGACTGTTCAACGTATATCTTCATCACTAATCTATGCTTGCAGGACCTGACTTCTGAAGGTATGCAGATTAGCACTTCTGAAGACATCTCTCAACTGGTGTTTTGTACCTACTCATTCCCAAAACTCTAACTAGGCATGAGTTTTTAAAAGGATGGCTAAACAGGAAGATGAACCCACACCATGTGGGGACACAGACTTTTTAAAAATCGCCATATAGGTGCCAACTAAGAGTAAAGCACCTACATTTCTCCCAGCTAGTACTGCAAAGTAGTCTTAAGTCTTGATGCCAAACCAAGAAGAACCTCACGCCAAAAGCTGAAGTCCTAGTGGTTCTGAAATAGAAATCTTAAGTTATGCAGAATGCCTGTCTCACTAGCCAGGCATGATCACAGGGCAACAAAAACCTGTTATTTGCCAGACCATGAAGAACTGAATGCAGATTACCCTCTGTTGGTAGAGCAATCCATCATTTATATGCAGGACTGCTGGGGCACAGAGAAATGTGGGGAGAACATAAAGAGATACTAAATATATTTAGGAGAGAGAGGAGAGAGGAGACATGGTTTTGGCTGCAAGGACATGGGCTACTTAAAGTCTGATATGTAAAAGCTGAACTCCAGGAGAAGGTTTGTGGCTGAAGATGTTAAGTAGATGAAGGCTAGAGAGAGGTGCCTATCAATCAGGTATACTAGGTCAGCCACTAAGGTGCTTAAACACCCCCTTCCTCCTCCTCTCATCTGCATTTTGCTCCTGGCTAGCTTATCTGGTGCCCTTCCCAGATGGCCAGCTTCTGAAATTCCCTTTCTTGGACACTTTAACTGTCCCCAGGCACTCAATAAGAACCTTAAGCAGCCAGGAGACATATCAATCAAGGCTGTAAATTCAGTTAGGTAGAAGGCCTACATGGTAGCAGCGGGAGAAAATATTATTTGGGGCGCTGAGGGCTGCCATGGAGCTGGCATGTGGTGGGGGCACCGGCCATGGTGCTGCAGCGGCAGGGCATGGTGATGGTGCTGAGTGACGCCGGGCACTGTGGGACGATGGTGCTGCCACCAGCCACCACAAAATTAGTTTGGGGGGCTAAGTTTGGGGTCCCAGCCTTCCATCGCCTATGGGTCTACATGTGGTTAGGCATTGATTGCTTCACTCAGCAAAGCAATGCCTATATCTCTTGAAAATCTGGACCTAAATATCTCATGTCTGCACAGTGCCTGAATACCTTTAAAAATCTGACCCTTGATGCCTTGCTTGAAGTGAAATGAGATTCAGGCTCAGAGTGTTCTTGTTTTGTTGATCAGTGCAATATGTTTGACATGAAATAATCTTCAAAAGCTGAACAGCACTGAATGCTGGCTCTGAAGTACATGAGCCACTTTGAGCCATTTTATACAGTGTGTTTTATGGAACAGAATCATGAATAAGTAGCAAAACACTACAAAAACATGGATCTCATTACATGATGTCAGTCTGGTTACAAGCTAGTAATCCACACCAGTTTAACAGGGGATAATTGACCCTTATCTATTATGTATATAATGCATGCTTTATATACATATTAAAGCAAGTTGCTGCAGAGTATTCCTGTGGTTACTTTTCCCATCTGTGCATGTAAAATGTATGTTTTACTAAGTTGATTGGGATGGAATGCTTTAGGTTTTAATTTTATTTTTAAGGAAAACTTGTGCATATTCATATAAGTTTCTACAAGGCTGTGATAAACAAAGAATTATGTTCAAGCCCACTGCCAGAAATAAGATATGTCAGAGGTCCATTTCCCATTCAATATAGAATCAGTCAATGGCCCAAGGGTACTTCCTTAAAAGGGAAAGGGTAAAATAACTGAGGTCAAGGCCTCAAATGTAGCTCCAGTTTTAATCACATTGTTGATTTAGAGTATCATGTGCATTTTCTGTAATTGTCAAAATCCATTTTGTTTTTTTGTTTTTTAATATGACCAGAATGGCCCTGGCATCTCAAGATAAGTCATGTTTTTTTATATATTAGTCAACACACAATCCACATGCAGCAAGTTATATAGTTTGTCAGTAAAGAGCACAAAGGCATGCTTATATATTACTGGCAGCTTGTGTACTTTGAGCTCTCTCAAATTCATAAGACAGACAGAATTTGCTATAGTATCTACTGAAAAAGTTGGTCAGAAACATTTTGACAAGTTTTTTTCATTAAAACCACTACATCAGTCATCAACTATGACTATTTCTCCATTTTACTGAAAGCTTTAATCAGATAGTTTTTCAGATGCAAAGTGGACTTTCTGGAGGCAGAGAGAGAGAAATGCTGAGATTTTGATCCAAAACAGACATTTTTGACACAATACAATTTGTTAAAAATCTTGAAGGATTTATTTTGATTACAATGCAAAACTAAAACAAATTCCAAAAACCTCAATAGATTTTGTAAATCTTACTTCTTGTCTTCTAGTCAGTGCAGTGTCTCTCTTTAGAGAGAATGATAAATAAATAATAAAGCATCCAGTTGTCAGTTTTCTGTATCAATTACAAATGCTCACAGTGCACAGCCTCTTAAAATGCAATATTGTACTACATATAAAGGATGCTGCAATTCCACTGACATCAGCAGAGTCTTATCCAGAATGAATCTGGCCCAGTATGTTTTCCAAATGGAGAGGACAGACGTTAAATAAATATTGAGGAGTAAATTTTCAGGAGAACCACCTCATTTTCCATGGGACATATGAAATGCATATAGATTGTAACCTCTCTACCCAGGATGATTAAGTCAACCCTGAGTGGATTGTAAATTGTGGTTCCAGAAAGTCTGTACGTTTCAAAACTTGATACTTACGACTATAAAGCTATACCCTTCGGCAAGGTTTGTTTGTATTAATGAAGGTGGGAGACTTGACTCAATTCCAAGAGTTAAATGCAAAGCTCTTTTCAGTATACACTTATTCTTAAGTGATGAAAAAAAATCAGACAATAGCACTCAAAACTAGTTCCCAAAGATTTCAACCGTAGTTTTAACACATGGAAATGAATACCTCCTTGTCCATCGGTAGGATCCTCCAGTTGCACTCAACTTTGCTTGGACACTTTCCATTGCAGAAAGGCTCACAGCCCCTATAGCCTTACCCTCTGCCATTTTCTCTGCACTGCATTCCTCAATTCCTAATTTCTTCTTTTTCCTCTTTCCCCCTTTTCCTTTCCTTTCTTCCTCTTATTGTCCATGTCTCTCAAGTCCTTGTCACAGAATCTACTTTTTACCCTACAAATGTAGCAAATGAGTTAATAATAGTGTCCATCAATGGGTAGTAACTCAGTAAGTTGAGAATTGCCTGGATACTGGTCCCACATTATGGATGAAATTCTGCCCCAACTGATGTAAACGGGGGCTAGGATTTCTGCCTATAAGACTAGATAGCAGCATGACTAGATGCAACCATGAAAGAAGTTGGAAAAAGGGAGCATATCTATTATGCAACAATATACATAATAGATATGCATATGCACTCCTTATTCAGGCAGAAGTCCCCACTCACATTGCTAACCCTCCTCCAGTAAAATTGGGGATATTAACAAGAGAAAGATGACTGCAGCACTTCTGCCCACTGCACCATCTTCTACAATGTTAAGAAACACCTTACAATAATGTTGAAAATCATGTGGGAATTACAATCTCAAAAAATGAATGGAGTGAGTGCATGTGTGTCAAATTCAGTACAGAAATATAGCCACTCAGGAGACGGGGACCAAGAGTTTTCCTGTTTTATAGTGGTACTGACTACTCTCAGTAGAGAATAAATAATAAATGGTAGCAATAATTAACAAAGACCATATCTGAGGTTTGTACAGCAACTACTTTATTGTTCTCAAATGCAAACCTTTGCATTGTTTGCTATTTTACAATTTTACAAACTAGGTATAAAAGACCATAAATAAATGACATAAGTTATGTGTACCTAAATTCATGGAGGGGAAAAATTACAAATTAAAACAAAATAGAAAAATCTATATGTCTAACCCAGAGATCATTCAAATGCATGACTCAAGAAATGCTCTGTTAGAATTTTTTTTCAGTATGAACTAAATTATAATATGCCTCATACATTCTAATTTTAACCACAGTCCTTGTGTATTCCAACATACTTGCAGTGATACAAAAAAATAAATGCACTCTCTTTTTATTTGTCTGATTAGTATTTCAGAATGTTTTTTTTCTGGTTATGAAAATGTCACATAAAATAAAATACTGCTTTTTAAGTCCTGTTTACTGGTTGAAAACCAGCCTTTTGTTTTCTATACATATATATTTTTAGTACATAGATCCATCACAAAGTTAGTACAGCAAGAAACCTGGACAAACATCAATCGGTGGTGTGGTGAGCAGAACAATGTCTTCTTAAACAGAGGCTTTCATGTCAGAGTCCTGTTGATGACATCTTCTGTAATGAGGATAAAATGGAAGCAAACTCTGTAGTAATTTATATTCTAACCCAAGCTCCATTTGTACCACTTGACAGCAATGTGCATCTGCTGGGTTTGCAACACAGCTCCTGCCTCCTGGCTCCCTACTAGTTCTGTCTGGTTTCTGCCTTCAGCATGGCTACATTAACTTGCCCCACTCTTCCCTCCCCACTATATTGACTTTTATTTTTTTGTTCATGAGACCAAGTACACTTATTAATAATGAATTAAAAATAGCCAGGAAAGGAGCAGGAAATAGAAAAAAGTTGGAGACACCACTGTTTGCTCCACTGAATGTTGCACATTCTTTTAACGTGGCTCATCCATCTCCCCCGCCCCCCACGCCCCAAGTATGTTTGACTGATCATTTGTCCTGTTATAGTTTGCTGTGCTGTACTGCCACCTCAGTAGACATCATCAGTTCTTTACAACCAGAAGGAGGGTTGAGCATATCAGCTGCTCAGTTCAAAATGTGGAATGGCAGCACTTTCCCCAGAGCCTAGCATACAACTCAACTTCATGAATATTTTACAGCGAATTTTTGAAACTCAATAATTTTTTCTAGGTAGTACTGGTAGGTTGTTAGCCTATTTCTTGGGCCATAACAATTAGCTTCTACATCAATTCTCCTAGTCTTTAGTTACAGATTCGAGGAACATGACTAACTTTCCAACCCTTTTGCTTATCACTGTAATCTTAAATGTCCCTCACATTTTTTGTTCCATGATCATGCTGGGAGAAAACAAAGTGTTTCACTGCCAGCTACAGGACACTACCTTCTCCCAGCTGGTATAATGAACAATGTGATTCTATGAATGGATAAGAATTGCATATATTTTTTCTCATTCAACAAGTCTTTAAAATCCTATTTGCAGAAAAGAAAGGCTACTTAAGAGTTCAGTTCAGGGTTACCAACAGATAGAAAGAGGCATCAGCTTCCTTATCTTCTCATCAAGAAACTGGTGGTTTTGAACAGGCTTTGATAAGAATAAGTGATATTGATGGAAATCTTTTAATTGCCCTTATGGATCATATAATTTATCCCTCCACAACTAAAGTGAAAGTGCCCCTGTTCCAGGCTGCCGGACTAGTCATAAAGGTTAGTGTGGCAGCTACAAAAGACATTTACAAATACAGAAATGTAAATATTTTTGTGATTTCTTACTACCACTGCAGACACCAGCTATAGGCCTGCTCTCTCATATAACTCTTCAGCTAGGAATGAATGGAATCCAAAGGTCCCAGGGATGCTTTCGGCACTTTCACAGGAAGTTCTACTTAAGGTGACATACACGCAAACACACACACACGCGAACACACACACACAATTCAGAAGAGATAAGTTCATTATCCATTCTAGGGAAAAATATATTTATATCACTGCAGTGGCACATTTTGTGTAAAATGTCACTTCATCAACATATACAGGCAGCTCATGTGAACTGGGTTCTGTGTTGTGGCACCTGACCTGGTGTCCATAGTAATTAATACCTGTAGAGCTTGGTCACTTGCACTTATACAGGATGCATCAATGACGTACAGAGGGAAAAAAACCTTCAAAATATATAAATAAAACCATCAGAAGGAAGAGAGAGCAAAAAAAGAAGTCTGCAGGGCTTTGATACAGTACATTCTTCAAGTGACAACTGGAAAACAGACGCTGAATCTTAGCATCATTTTGTATTGTTTCAATGCCAAAAGAAAAAAAAAAAGAAGAAATTAAGAGTCACACTCTCCAGGGACTGATGTTGCTTATTCAGTGTCTGTGTTCCCCAGAATCAGTGCTGTTGAAGCTGTGCTTGTGGAATCTGGAAGGCTTCAAGGCTGGTCTTTATGTTCTTCCATGGTCAATATGATCAATAGGAAGGGCTATTGGAAGCAGAACCTCTTTTCCCTGAAAAAAAGGAAACACCAACCCATTAAACAACATGCAAAATACCAGGCAACACAGCTATGTTAACTGACATGGCAGCCATTTAGATTTTCTAACAAAAGTACTGCTGCATCTTTCCTTTGGGCAAGCTAGCTCTACCACTGGCAGGGTTTAGCTGGGAACTGTTTGGGGACTGGCCATCTTGTACAAGAGCACAATTACATTTTTTAAACAGAATTTTCTATGCTTAAGCATGAAGACCGTATTTGGGTTCATCAAATAAGTTAAATAAATATTTTAATAAGGAAAGGTACCTTAAAGATGTAGTATTTCTGATTAACTGACTTCTGTCTACAGTGTTCAGAAGCATTTAGTATTAACAAGAAGTTGATCACATACCAACTCTTCTAGCCAAAAGGATGTCACTGTGACTTCTACAATCAGGGATATTCATCTTTAAAAAAAAAATTATTGGGAGACCTCATTGGAAGGAACCAGTTCCAGGAAGAAAGAAAGGATATATAAATAGTTTATATCTGCTGGAGAATATATGCAGTTCAATGCTGTGTGTGTATGTGTGTTTTATGGACATGTACAGAAGTGATACAAAGAAGCAACTCTTATTTCTTAACCTACCATGACCTTTCCTAACACACAGTTTTAAGTAGCAATATCCTGGTAATAGTGACAGTGCATAAGATTAAAGATCCTGGACTTATTTTCAGTCAGCTTAACTGGGTGACGTAGTGCAATGGATTCAATAGTATTTTCTACAGGTAGGGAAAATGGCTTTCAAATGGACTAAATATGGTCCTGTCCCAAAAGAGAAGGGACGTGCAATTCAAGTGTATAAATGCAGACAACTTGTCAGTGATGCCATCTTGGAATTCACAAGCATCTTTGTTGACTGAATTAGTGGCAATTTAATTTGTCCCTAAAGAGCTACAAAGTGTCTCAAAGTATTTCTGTATGCGTGTCTGTGTGGGTATATACACATGTGCAAAAGGGATATAGCAAAACAACTGTATATTTCCTTGCAGGCACAAGAAGACTGATTTCTATTTCATAATTAAACATTTAACAATTCCAATAAAGAAAAACATTTTTATAATCAGTTGTAACTTTCTCGTAATGACAAAAATTTTTACTAAATTTTCTCTGAAAAACCTTGTAAAAAAATAAAACATCTTCTAGTTTTATTGGGGAGGTTGCTGAAATGAACGTCTTTTGTAACACTTTTTACTAAGAAGCTTCCCTTTCCTTGCAGCATAATTGACACACTGGTGTTTTCCCAATGCAAATATCTTCGTAGAAATTCTATTCTTGAAAAAGAACCATGAATGATTAAATCAGCAAGCTACATATCACTGTGATTGTTCTCACTACTTTGCCGGTCTCAGGATACTGGAATAAATATAACTGGTATGTTTTAAATAAGGGAACACCACCATTTTTCTTTTAAACTCCAATTTCCACTGCCCATTTTGCTGCACACATGCTCTCTCTAGCTAATAACTGCATACTATAAGTATGTTCCCTGAATGCACTGCAGTTATTATTTGTTTCGTCTTCTGCCTCCTCCCATTAAAATAATATTCATGTCCTTTTGCTACTCATTTGATCACCATCAAGTTATAGCCATGAATAGCAGTACAGAAAATCTAGCATCTGAACTGCCTTCAGTTTTCATTTTAAAAGAAAAATGTTAAAAGTATTTTGAACTGTTGTTACAAGATGTCAACAACACAATTCTCCAAATTGGCCAGAAAATTGTGTGCATTTTGTTTTTATTTAAAAGGAGACAGTCTTGACTTTCTCTAATGAGTTTACAGAAAGAAGCCAAAAATGTCTGTGCACTTAAGAAACAAACGGTTTTTGCTGGTAAAGTAGAAATGTCACATCTTTAAAATGAATATCCAGCTTTACATGCTTTAGCAAAATGGTGTTAAAACCTGACGGTTTAAGTAGTTTTTAAAAATAAATCTCAAATTTCTCCTGAATTGAAAAGCTTTTATGAGTAATATTGAAAAAAAAAAAAAAAGGTTTGTACTAAGCTGTCAGGATTTGACAGGATCCATATTTAGCTTCCTGCATTTGGGAACAAGCTATTTTTCAGAATAAAGGTGGGAGTCAGTGGAAGAAATGTGAAGTTCACCTAGCTTTAACTGCTCATTCACATCTGAAATGCAATGGCTAAACATTCTGAGTCCTGAATGTCCTGTTCTCCAATGTCATCAAACCAAAAATGGGCCTGCTCATCTACACCAGGGGCTGGCAACCTACAACCTGCAAGTCAGACCCATTTAATCTGGCCTGCAGACATGGGGCTTCTGCAGCAAGGGGCTGCAGCGTCAGCCACTATCCTATGCTGCCACAGGGAAATGGCAGCAGCAACTGGGTTCTCACGCCTGCCCATGTCTAACCTGAACTGGTTCATTCTAGCCCACAGTCTGAAGAGGTTTCCAATCACTGCTTTGCACCATTCTGGCAATGCATAAGGAAATCTTAAAAGGCATGTAAGTGTAATTTAAGGACACTTAAAGTTCTCTTCATACAAACTGAATGGTGTAAAAAGTCTTTAGAATCAGTGAAACTGGAGCCTTAATGCATCCAGATCTATTATGATCTAACAAAAGTGTCCAATCTCCTCGAGTAACACTATTGTGTAATGTGGAGACATTCTGCAGCATGGCCATACATGACAGCACACTGGTACAAAAGCAAGGAAAAAACTATGGATGCATAATTCTGCTTTGTTCCATTTCCTATCAAATAATACCATCAATATGACAACTAAAACTGAGCTTCTGTCTAAAAGAAGACCAAAGTGGTTGTTACAATTGCTTTCACCTCAGCTGGGCTGTACTGATTTCCAGAAGGATGGAAAACCAGTATCAGTGGTTTCCCATCAATACCGGCCTGCTTCTTTAGCTCCTCATCATTAATGCAAAGTCAAAAATGTTACTCATCCATTAAACTTGAGCTTTGGAGGAGGCCTTTCATCGTCAGTTATGAATACATGCAAAAGAGTGGGAATAACTGAATTGTTAGTCTGGGAAACTAGTATCAATTTATCTAAAGCAGGTGGGAACCACAATCATACATAATACAGATTAAAGCATTTTTCCACAGAATGAATAAGTCAAAAGACTGTTGTTTAAGAAAATAAAAATGCCGCAAGTACAATGGAGGCTGTCCTTTCACTGACCTTTTCAATGTGACAAAAGTGATTGCTCCTTGGAAGGGGAAAAAGCCTGAAAGTTCCACAGCCAAGATTGTCACAGCTGACTGTCAGCAAGTTGGTCACAAAAGACTTATAGGGTAGGATACAGTATGGCACAACAACAGCCAAAACCAATCCCTCCAGAAGTCCAGTTCTGCCCAGTAATCCATGAGGTGGGCTGTTTCCTGAATCAGCCCATAGACGGGTAAGTCACTGACTGAGAGGCACTGATCAGCCAAATGATACTCTCACTTAGGTTTCTGCATGGTATGGGTAAAACACTGAATCTGCAGAAAACATCCTGGGACAGATTCTTCATTCCAGTAAAAGATGCACAACTGTGGTACAGCCCACAAATAAAATACTACTGTTGTAATCCTAAGGGTCACTGAGGAAAGAGTTAATTTTATCTAAGCACAGTATCTGGCAGCAAACACAGCATCAAAACTTGAATGTGATGTTATATTTATATAGATACATGTATTTTACATATCGTTGAACAACAGAGAAGTATGTTCCAAGAAACAATTTGTTCCAGGTCTGGTTTAAAATGACAGCTTGTCATTTCCATAGGCTCCCCCTCAGAGTTCCAGCAAATCTGTACATCAAGCAACACTGCAGTTCCTTATTTCAACTGGCGAGGAGACGAAGTAAAAAAAGTGCAGTTCTTCAATTAAAGTGCATGGATGAGGTAAACTAATTTCAAGAGTTTGAGTTTATTCAGTACTGGCTCAGACGGGAACCATTCTGCCGTGCATCTGTTGCATTTGGGTCCGCATTGCTTGGACGCTGTTCAAAAGCTTGTTCTGATGCGCTATAGCAGTAATCCCAATTCTTGCTAGGTCACTGTGCAAAACAAGAAGAGAAGAAGCAGGGGGCTGAGAACTCCGTATCAAATGCTGAGCCAGTGAAAAATATTGAAGTCAACCACAAATAATACTGCAAAAAGCAAGGCAGCTGTATAGAAATGTTTAATTAAATAACTGAAAGCACTGTGGAGGCATTTTAAAGTTATACTCCATCCAAATGAAAGGAATTCCATTGTTTTAATGAGCATAATGATATGCAGCACAAAGCAAAAGAGGCCAATTAAATCCAGATTTACCATTTTTTGTTCTATCACTGAGTACTTACTCCTGGTTCATATGCACCACAGCCTCTAGGGTGGTATAGCCAGCAGCTGTGAAATTATCCTTGTATCGCTCCATTTTAATGGCTTGGAGCCAATCACCAACAGAAACGACAGCTGAGAATTCTGGAGAACTTGGATCCAAAAGAGCAGTGTTGGGCCTAGGAACAGAAAATGCAGGGACAGATAACAAGCATTAGTTGGGTAACAAAACAGGGTTCAGGCTCCACACTGATTAGGCTCAGCGACTAGCAAAACAGACTATCCAATCAAATCAGATAAGGAGTTGAATGGGACTTGTAAATATCAAAGATCATGCACTACAAAATGGAATCAATGACAGAAAATTTAGCAAACTTATAATGGGCCAATTTATTTCAGAGTGAATCTGACCCTACGTATCTAGTGTTACTTTTAAATAGGACTCACACCAGTGTGCTGTTTCTAATTTGAATTCCAGATACAACGAAGTTCATGCAAAACCCTTCTATTACAATGTGATCTGAAAAAGACCCCTTAATGCTGCAGCATGTTCAGTCTACTGTGTCTGTAACCTACAGACAGCAATTCAAGCATTTGCCAATCCTGCATATGTCAGACCTCACCTCAGCAACTGTAGAAATACTACTGAAGTATAAGCTTAGGGTCTGTAAACTCACAACCTGCCAGACTGGACAGGAGTTCAAAACTCAGGGAGAATTCAGACAAGCATGTTTCTAGCCAGGCTTGCAAGCAGGCTCAGTGCATTCAAACAAACTCAGGACAGCGGGAAGTTAATCCTCTCTTTAATCAATCCATTCCTGACCAGCACGTGTGCCAAGATTGGTGGGAATAATGGCAGCTTTATCTTTGTTTGCACTGTGGAATGTGCTTCTCATTTTCCCTTGCAGAGATTTTGGAATAACCATTTAAAGTAATTCAGAACACTTATTAATAGCTTGTTTATTATTTTAGGTATTTTGTAAATTGCAATGTTTTTCATCAGGCCACTGTAAATTACTACCATATACATAAACATCTTAGTATTGATTTTAGACTGCACAGTATGAAAAGCAAGTGCACTGCCATGCTGTTATGCATTGTCCAAGAAGGCTGAGTTCATGTTAGTAGTGGCTGATACCACTTTTATCATATTATACAGCAGTCTAGGCAGAGCCCCTTTTCATGAAGCAAGTAATAGTAATTATATATTGTCATTCTCGATACATAAAAACGTACTCATTTTTGTTTGGATTTCATGCTCTGTGGAAAAGAAATCTACATATGGGACTAGTGATGCAGAGAAGGAATGGCTGAAACTGGTTTAAGATAAACCTGGTTGAATGTAGTATCAGATTTAACTCATTTGGGTCAAACCCCACTCCACCAAGCTTGGCCAGCCCAGAGCTGGTTGTGTGCCTGCAGCCCAGGGTGCTGTGCAGGGCAGGGGGCACGGCAGCCGCTGTTGGGCTTGGGGCCCACTGGCGCCCTTGAGCTTACCTGGGAAGCCTGCTCCCCAGCCAGCCCCCGCCAGTGCTGCTAGGCTGAGCTGTTACACAGTCCTAGTGGGCTGGGAAGGGCCCTTCCCAGCTGGCGGGGGCTCCATGGCAGCCCCTCCCAGCCTGGCACGAGGAGTTGTGCAGCCACCACAGTCCCAACCCGAGCTGCAGCCCACTGGGAAGGGCCAGGCCCAGTGGCCCAGCCCGGGTTGGCGCCTCTGCCTCCACCCTCAGCAGCACTTGCAAGCCGGCTGGGCTCAGCCCTGCAGCCCCAGCCATGGGTGGACAGCAGGGCCATGCTGGCCGGCTCTGGTCAGGTTCCCATGCCACCTGAGCAAGATCAGGAGGGAAAACTGGGCAGACCCCAACTGGAGTCCCATGCCTGCCCAGAGACAGGGGAGTTTAATCCCTACCCCCCTGCCCCACTTTGCCTGAGGTGCTGCCCCAGCCAGTGTCTGGTCTTGGGGACAAGCCTGACAAGGGCTCTTCTCCCTATGCCTCCAGGCACAGCCTGGCTGGGGTCCCTACAGGCCAGGGTGGAGGTTTAAACCCCTTCACAATCATACTTAGCCCCTGCCAGGGGCCTGGCCACGCCCCCATGTCAGCTTCCCTCCAGCCTTGCAGTTGCTGCAAAGGGAAGGGAGGGCTGTTCTAGCGCCCCCAGCTTCTAGCCTGAGCCACTGCAGGCATGTGCCTGCATTTCCAGAAATAAATGTGAATATCTGTGCACTTGCAAATCAGTTCAATCTTTACAGGTTAGTCTAACCTGCAAAGACTGAAACAATTCAGGCTCTGGCTTTTTGAATGTCTGTTCCTAGCCTAAATGTTGTTAACTATACATGATTATCTGTGAGCTTGAATCAAATCAAATTGAAGGAGATTAAACAGTTGCTATTATGACTCTCTCCTTAAATTATCTAACCCACAGAGGTGGATACACTTGCCAGGCTATAGTTGCAATTAGGGCAATCTGGAAGAAGTGTGGTGATAGTGGCCTCAGAGGGCTAATAACCTGTCTTTGGTAATGTAAATGGTAAGCAATAGTCACCAAGGGATCCTCTCATTTAAAAGTGAAAAACTGCTTTTTCTATGATGCTGATCTGTCAGAGGCTGAATCAGGAATGGTCTGGCTTCTGTTACTGCTTCACTGGTTCAAGGAGACTCATTCTAAGCATCAGAGTGGATATTTTTGTAATTTCCTTTCTGTTGAGGGACCATATCATAATTTAAAAAATATTTTTCCTATGCGTCTCTTAATTTTCTTCTTCTAAGCCCCTCTTACAGCAAGCAAACCCACTTTGCTATAAAAGAATACAAATATACTCAAAAATAAAGGATGAGACCCTCTGCTGGGGAATACTGCTGAAACTACATTGACTAACAGTTCCACCAATTTACGCTAGCTTAGGGATCTGGCCCTCTCAAAAAGATCTCTTCCAAAATGCTGAGATCTCCTTCCCACTCTGCCTTCTCCTTGAATGCCAGCTAGACCTTGCTAAAAATATACCAAAACAAAATGTAACATAGGATCAATGTAGATATGAAACTGGCTATCAATAAATTAAATGCAAATATACATAAAAATTAATCCACACCTTTTTGTGCCCACAAGGCTTTAGCTGTTATACTGTAATGCTTTTGCAAATTCTATCCCAATCTAGGGTTTATAAAACTTGTATACTTTCCTGCTACAAACCACATTATTCCTGTTAGTTCCACTACACTGGGACAGACCTTTCCAAGCTTTTTTCATCAGGGGAAAAAGAAAAAAAAAAAGGAAAAGACACTGCATGCCTTGTTTTCTCAAGAAAACAGCACTTGATCGCATCAACGCTGGACTTCAATTTATGTTATAGAACTGTTCAGAGCTGATGGAATAAAGCAATTTCTTTACTTATTCAGTATTTTATTTTTACAAAGCCAGGGGGATCTGGACCCCATAGTACAGTCAACTGGAATGTCAGTGCAACCTCAATGGGAAACAATCTTCCACTGGATAAAAAAAAGTTGTGCAGTCTGGCAAGAGCTGTGAAGCATGCCTTAACCTGATCACAAAAGTTTAGGTGAGTTACAGCTTGCCTGTCACCTTCAATATATTCCCTCATATATCACTGTTAGAAAAGCACGGCTGACCTGGAGCTCTCTGCGCCTGTCCTCTTCAAGCTGTTGGGGTTGCGGATGAGTTTGTCCAGCATGTTGACGATCTGTCCAAATTTAGGCCTGTCGCTACGTTCCTTCTGCCAACAGTCCAGCATCAGCTGATGGAGAGCGATGGGGCAATCCATTGGGGGTGGCAGTCGATACCCTTCTTCAATGGCTTTAATAACCTATGAACAGCATCATTAAAGAGAAGTTAAAGCTCATCGTAGATTGTAAAGGTATGCTAGCTGAATATCCTACGCATGGAAACAAATCTATAGTTAAAGAAGACACTGTTAAAAAATATGCTCATGCTCAAACTGTTGATGGGGCTACTATTGATATTTTCTTTTGAGATAAAGATTTAAAAGAAATGGATGAGCACATTTGGAGATATGCGTGTATGGGGACTGAAGCTTAATTATGAAGGTAAGACTATCTCATGCATTTGAATCTTGTGAGAGGGGATAAATATATAACAACATTTGGTACAACTGCATTTGGTACAACTTCCAAAGCATGCATATTTTCAAAGATACAGCATACTGATGAGCCACTAAAAGACAATACACATCAGGATGCATCATATGAGAAAGAGAAAACAGCGTGACCCTGAGTTAATCTGCTGCCCATGTTGGATAGATGTGAGAAGCAGCACCATTACAAGGATCAAATATGTTAATTTCCCCTGAGGGAATTTCTGTCAGCTGTGAGAACTATACCTTGAAGCGAATGCCTAGCTAGAGTTCTCAATACCTTTACTCTTCAAGCTCTCAAAGTTTGTGGATAAGTTTGTCTAGCACCCCACCCCTCCAGCTACACCCTGTGCTTTCTCCTGAGCTAGTTTAGTGAGCAGATACTTGTATCACAAGCCTTTGACTGATCACAGCTGGTAAAAATATGCACCCTTGTTACTGAAGACCTGCATTCAGAGTAACTGTAGGGGCATGCACAACACTACTTATTGGGCACTTCAAAAACCTAGCCCGCACTGCCTTGTGGGTACACCATCAAGGCATTAAACATCTGAACTAATTCTGGCCTTTGGATTCTGTCTCCATGGTCTAAAGTGGGGGTGGTATATCTTGGGCAGCCTCCACTCCTCCATAGGTGTATATGTGCTTGTGCTTAGGTGTTTAGGTGTATGTGCTTAGGTGTACATGTTGAAGGCCTTGATGTGATGGTTGTAGGACTCTGTACAAGCAGATTCAGCAGGCACCTGATTAGACCTCTTACATGTACAACATGATCCAGAGGATCAACAGTTGCCTACTTATAAAGATCAAGAGTTGCAGAGACTAAATTATGCTGCAGTCCTCACTTTTGTCTCTCCAAAACAATGGCTAAGATGCATTGGGAGGACAGTGTCAAGAGGCTTGCTCATTCAGTGAAACAAGAAGAAAACTGGCTGTAGCTGCTAATCTAGCATTATTCACAAACATGAAATTCACTTAAAATATTTTAGAGCCCCTTAAGTAATATATTTCAGTGAAAAAGTACATGTCAATCCATCCCTCACTTCTGCATTGTTCTTCCACACCTCTGTAATTATCTGTGTATTTTGCAAAAATGTATTTGCAATATTTCTTCCTTTAGGATCTGATTAAATTTTCCAAACAGTACCATAAGCACATCATAGGCTCATTTACTCTGTGTACTTTTTCTTAATCTCAACTAACCCAGAGGACAAGGATGGCATCTGAAAACTCACTTCTGTATTAGCCTGAATTACCTATCATTACTAAAGAAAACAGAACATTTCTGAGGTGCATCTGGCGCTTTATTTTCTTGAAAATCCTTGACTTCCTGTTGACACAGGAGAGCAAGGCTGGATGCCAGAGGAGCAGTTCTATATCAGAAGAAAATTAAAATGAAAGCCTCATTTTTCAGTTAGATGACATCTACATGCAGATGCTCTTTGAAAATATTCAGCTCTGAGTAAGAAAGTGGATGACTAATAAAGTGACTTAACTACTCCTGTGACCAAATAGTCAAGTTATCTTTTTCTTGTTCCTTTATCTTCTAAAAATCCCTTGGGAAAAAACATTACAACCAGTCTGTCTCATTTTCACCAGGGATATTACTTTTTTTAAATCAACAAAAATCCTGTTAGCACAAGCCCTTATTAGCAATATTATTAAAACTCTCCTGAAATAATAGTCATTGTGTATACTCCCTCTTGGAATATGCCAAAGTAGTCCAGATGGTATAATTAAATGGGACTTGCATAATTTAAGAATGGTCATTTAGTGAAGCTCCTTTTCAATGTCCTCCAGGGGCAGCTATTCTAGTGCCAAGAGGATGGTTTGACTGACAGGCACAATGGTATCTTGTATATACAGTTTTATGTATTTTTTAAAAACTATATATCCAAACAAAAATGTTTAGCTCCTAATTAGAGGCCATATTAAATTCTCGTGTTTTTTTCTTCGGGGTTTAATATAAATATGAAAATTTGTCTTTCCCTTTCTTTTCAACTTAATCGCTGTAATCTTTTAAATTTGAATTTGAATGTATTCTAATCCCCTTCATTTTTCACTTTCCTACATATTTCTAAAAATTACAGCAAATTGCAGAAGGTATAAAAGAAAATGGATGTATATAATATACATGTTTTTTTCAGGAAAACCATCACCCATGTGTTTAACTTGAAATATGTGCTGCAGTCCCATTATCTTTTAAGGGGGTTTTGAAACACGCTTTTGTGCTTCCCTGGTATAGAACCTCTCTTGATTTGCCATTATTGTGTTTTCTGGAAGACAGTCTATCACAATTTCAGAGAAGAGTCTGTCACTTAAGTCCAAAATCTAATACATTTGCAATTCACAAACTTGTGGTAGATGAACCAATAGATCAGCCAAAGGTCACTTTTAGATACAGAATACCAGACTTGATGAAGCAATGACCTGATCAAATATAGACAAAATTGTATAAGGGTCTCATTCTGGAAAAGGATACACGTGAACAATAGGGGTCCACACATGCCAACCCTTTTGCAAAACTTAGGCCTAATGTTTTATTCTCACACTGAGAAAGTAAACAAAATATTAAGAGAAAAGTAGAAGAAGAAAAGCCGTCAGAAAGCAACTCACATCTTGATTGGACATATCCCAGTAAGGTCTTTCTCCATATGACATCACTTCCCACATTACAATGCCATAGCTCCACACATCACTAGCTGATGTAAATTTACGGTAGGCAATTGCTTCTGGTGCAGTCCACCTGATGGGAATCTTGCCACCCTGTGAAAAATAAAAGAAAACAGAAGTCAGGAAATCACTGGACATACATTTTATGAGGATGTCATTGCGCTCTAATATTAGGTTTAAAATGGCAAGATGGAGCTGGAGAGATGATTCCAAATTTATTCTTAAAAAGTAATTTATTCTCTCTTTTTTGCCATAAAACTGTCAAATCCAAATAGGAGGCAATACCATCCATCTGTTTTCTGTAGTCACAGGAATGGGAACCAGTAAATTCTTAAATGTATTTTTATCAGGCCTCTAACAGAAGGCCTATACTGAAGAATGGGAAAAACAAGGAGTTTATAAAAGGTTTAGGTGATAGAATATGTATACAAAACAAATATGTACACGCTGTTATTGCAGGATTCATTTTTTTTCTTGCTTTGCTTGTCTGCCCCGTTTGTTCACTTTCAGGAAAACAGGGATATAAATATTTTTTCTTTATTCTGAGGGGAAAAAAAGAATAAGCTAAGCAGCTTTATGAAATATTATGATTTTTTTGCCATGGATGACATCCCAGTTCATACATGACCCATAGGTGAAAGGATAACTCAGCCCTCAGGCTCCTCTGGTCAATGTAGGAGGACTAAGTACAGTCTCTGGTTACAACACTTTTGATACCAGTTAGAGAGAACAGCTTTTTTATTACACTAAAGAAAAAAAAACAACCCTTCCACAAATAAAAGCAGTTGGGCATCTGAACTGGGCTAGTGGAGTTTGGTAATGTTTTAAAAAGGAGCTCAATTCCATCCTGTTTATCCGATTTTGCCATGGTTGAGTGATCCCCGGCCAAAGATTTCTCCTTTTGTTTATGCTAATGTACAAGGTGTTTTTAATTGAGCTTTTGGTTCCTCACTGTTCCGTCTGGGGAATTACTTAAAGTCAAAGGTGTATTTTTTCCATAAGTTATTTTTGTTGCATTTTTGTCTTTGCAGTTTTTGGACACATTTTCTGCTCCTAACTGTGCATCTCGTCTTTGTAGGTCTAGTCTACTGTCCTTTGTACAGCTGTCAAGTGATTAATGGCAGCTCATTGCAGAGCTTTTTGAAGTCAATGGGAGTCTTTCTATTGACATCACTGTGCTTTCGATCAGCTCCTGTGTGAATGTGCATATGTTTTAACGTATCTCTTTGTCATCCTATGTTATACGATGCTTGATTTAGAATACTGGTAGGGAAAAGAATGCAAATTTTGTTGAAAAAAAGAAAATTGCTTTAATAATGCTCTTTACCAACTCTAACCATGAGCAAATTTCATTCTTCCTGTTGGATGTATGGACATGATTTATATATACTTATTTTTAAAATTGTCAATAAATTCAATGTTTTTAGCTGCTAAGTACAGTGGAGCTCATCCATTTTTTTCCTGTTACTTCATTACTGACACCAAATGAAGATACTGTACTGTATGGCAAATTACATTGATTTGTTGCAGCTTACTTGGAGAAAAAACATAGTACTATATTTGCACTCACTACATTCAAAGTGATGCTGTTCAACCATTTCCATTCTACACTTATATATTTGTCTAAACTTGCATTTGCTTGAATACAGCTTTCCAGGCTGGAGATTCAGCTTCTCTCCATCACTACCCTTATTAGTGGGAAATACCAGTGTTGGCCAGCATTTAATACTACATAAGTTTATCCTTCCCTATAATGAACTCTGAATTCATTAAAAGATGAGTATAGGGATTAAACAGCAAAAAATGAGCACTGCAAACAATCCTGGCACTGGAGAGAACAGATGGAGAATGGCAGATATTTAAAAACAAAACAATAAGCAATAAAAAGGCTTCAGAAACACACTAACATTTTTTTTAGTGCATGTTAATTACAAAGGTATTGGTAATGGTCAGAATTGCTTTGTGAACTGTGATATCTGCATCATTATAACATGCAGCATGCTAAACTGGAATAGGAAAATTAGTAACAGTACATTGCTAAAACCTGTTCCTTACTTATTATGATTATATATTAATTCAAATACTATTAGTAATAATCAGAAAATCTCCACAGAATAAACGGTCTTTGTAACTGATCAGGCACCTAGGACATAAATTGTTTAAGTGTTGCACATGTTGGTACGTTTTTAAATCACAATCAGAATAAAATCCATTCTAGGGGCTGCAAAAGGCCCTCTAGGCATTCAAGGCTTGGTGTTAGCAAGCATGAAAGCACACATTATTTTTCCCCATCTGAGTAATACCACAGAGTAAGACAGTGCAAGGAACTGATTTTGGTTTGGCAGCTAAACTGAAAAAAATGAAAAATAATTTAGCTTTGGATTGACCCTAATTCAATTTGTTTTTGTTTATTCTTGTTTACACTGGAAAATGTAATCTCATTTGACATAAAACATTCCCTTCCCTTACTTTGTTTTGGGTCGCTTGTAAATTAAAGCATAGGAAAAGAAGGGTTAGATTTACAAAACTGCCAGAGGAATTAAGTATCCAAATGGCTATGATACTCATGCAGGGGATAGGAGACGTGGGGTCTTGTTCCTGTTCCACTTAATCTCATCTATTGACTTCATACAAATACAGACTGAAAGCACTCTATTGCAGAAACCAATAATCTGGTATTCTTCTCAGAACTAGTAAGTGGGTTCAAAACTCTGTTAATCATATGGAAAACTTGAAGACAGGTCTCCCAAATCCTGGGTTAAAGTTTAAACCTTTGAGCTGGAAAAAGGGAGGATGATGACATTAACCACCACTGCCAGTTTGGGAATTTGGCCCTCAACATTTTTTCTAAACAAAATTGTTCAGTGAATTCAATTGATTATGATTCTTGCAGTACTCAGGAATGTAGCGAAGCTTTATACACTTGAAACACTTGTTGTTATGGGAAAACAAGTTAAAGATGGGCCTGTGTTCTGCTCTACTTATGCTTTAAGCTGTTCTTGTTTACAAAGTGTGCAAACGGTGTTAACTGGGTGCGAAAGTGTCTGACAGGAAAGGGAGAATAGATTTTCTTACTGGTACAGAACTTGGGACAATTTAGATATTTGATTAGCAATTGAAAGGGCTAAAGTAGAGCCTGGATTTTAAGACTAACTTTAGCGGTGCTGTAAAACTTTTCAGAATGGTAGGTTGTCTTTTTAAATGTTGTTAGAAGCGTCAAATTAAAAGGAACAATGCAAAAATCAATCTATTTTAATGGGGGTCGGACTTGATGATCTGCTCAGGTCCCTTCCGACCCTACCAACTATGAAACTACGAAGGTCAAATTTACAAATAGTTTTAGGACAGCTGCATTTTTTGCACAGTTTATTCTTTGCTTTAAAAAAAACAAACAAACAAAAAAACCCCTTCAACTTTACCACAGAATTCAATGGGACTATTAACCTGTATAAAACTGACCGATTACACAACTGCCTGCAGAATGACGCATCAAAATATTAACGCCTGGCCTCAAACACCTGTCACCAACTTCTAGTATGCTGCTGGCACCTAACCAATACAATGGGACAGATCCTCAGTGAGGTAGACTGATGTAGGTGCTTTGAAACCAATGGAATTGACAAGACCAGATGTGAACCTATTCTAATGTATATTTTTATTTAAAAATACCGACTTTCATGCACGCCTGATATTATTTAAAACAAAGACCCCCAAATCCTTATTAGCAGGAAACTACAACTCCAGAATCTTTTCTGCCTTACCCGTGTGGTATAAGCTGCTTCAGGATCATCTTCCAGGACACGAGACATGCCAAAATCAGATACTTTGCAAACCAAGTTGCTGTTGACTAGTATATTTCGGGCAGCTAGATCCCGATGCACATAACTCATGTCAGACAGATACTTCATTCCAGAGCCAATGCCACGTAGCATCCCTACCAACTGGATTACTGTAAATCTGCCATCGTTCTTCTGCAGATGAAGAAAGGGGGGGGCGGGGGGGGAGGAATTTCATAGTATTAAGTTAAAAGCTACATTATTGCCACAGCTAAAACTGGCAAAGAACACACCTCTAGATCCCCATCTTGACTACGATTAAATGCAATGCTATTTCCTTAGTCTTCTGACTTGGGTCTATAATTCACCAGCAAAATCCAAACCTAGAGGTTTTGTCAGTTTTCTATGATGTATAGAATGTATCTGTATTCAGTTTTAATGAATCTACATCATTGCAAAGTTTTCAAAAATGAAATAAATCAAAATGGTTCCCCATTAAACATGGATTATTTAAGACCCTACTATTTTAAATGTTACACCTCCTCTGTATTCCTCCACCAGCTACTGACAGTAATAGAAAAAAATAATCAGGAAGCATCTCTCATGTACGCACATCCTTGAGTTTCAAATATATCTCCTGTATCCCTCTACCAAAAAAGAGAATCAGAAAGCATTTTCCTCATGTAAAACCTTTTTGGGTTTTTTATAAAGTAGTCACACATACCCTGAGGAAGGCATCCAAGGAGCCATTTTCCATGTACTCAGTTATGATCATTACCGGTTTACCTAGAATTTGCAAAAAGAAAAACACAATTCCTTGATGAACACCAATGTTAATGAGATAAAAATGGGTTGCACATGATTTTACTGCCAAGACACCTGTCTTGCACAATTTAATTTAATTTTAAAAGCGCTGAGCTTATGCCTCAGCTGTGGGGAGCTGGAAAACAAGTATTTAAGAGCTCCATCTGGAAAATTAACCCTTTCAGGAACTTGTTGATAAGATCTTTAACTGAAGGGGCCAGAAGTCTCCAGGGAATATATGACCAAATCATTGCTCATTAAATAAGAAAGCAATGGGGGACCCAGACAGATCTGTTCATACTTAAAAAATATTTAGGATAATTAATTGTTTGCTAGAATATGCACTTCCTTTTCCTTCTTCTGAAAACTCAATGCTTCTAGGGGCGGAGAGTTGTCAGTGGTTACAAGTTATTCAAATACAGCTTGATTCAAGCAAGATTAATAAAATAAGCAAAAAATCTTTCCCTTTGACTTTGCCTAGTTGGTATCCATATTCTGTGTGTCTCACTATTTGTAAATTAGTCTTATCCATGTGCCCCATAAAATAAACCGCAGGATAAATGATTCAATGACCTGCATCACACACAGGGTTAAATGCAGAAGTGACACCGGACTTTCCACATTGGGTGCATGTACACATGCATCAATGCGCTTTCCTAATGCCCGTTCAATTTAGTAACTCCAATGTGAGGTACTACAACAATGAGCATTCAAAAGTGCACATCTTTTAAGTGCTGCTTAATGCACAGTAGCCTATTTTACTGCTCATTCATGTAATTGCAAGGTATTTTACATGACACTTCAATGTGCAGTAAAATAGGCTACTGCACATTAAAGTGCACATGTTGACGTGCCTGCTGAAAATGAACTTCAGATAAATCTGGAGAAGTAGAGAAGTACTGTTTTATTTTCCTGAACTGTTTTTCTAGTCACTAGTGTGCCTCATGATGACGATAAATATACATATTTATTGTGCGATATTATCTTTACCTGTTTGACAAAGCACTGATCTTGTTAATATTTACGCATGTGCTATACTTTAAGCATGCGAGTAACATCAGCCATTTAAAGGACTAATCATGATAAAAATGTATTGTCCCATTTTAAAGATGGGCCATGTGAGGAGTACAAAAGTTAAGTGATTTGCCAAGAGTCAAATAACAAAGCCCAGCTTGGGAGACGCTGTATGCATTCTACAGGGAGATGAGAACTCTTAGCCCCAGCTGGATGAAAACAACTTGAAGGTGTTTAGGTCCTGACCAAACACAGATCCTTTGGCTACAGCTAGTGGCAGTCAGCAACAGAAATCAAGGATCATTATTCCCAACCCTGTTCTAACAAATAGAGCGGGGGGGGGGGGGGGGGGC